TCGCGCATGCGTGCGACGAAGCCATGCCCAGAGTCAGGTCCTGCCCCAAAAGGTCCGCCTGGTGGTGGACCGACGCCATAGCCGATCTCCGGCACAAGTCGGTCCACCTCAGGCGGGCCTTCAGGAGGGTCCGTAATGACCCTCACTCGGACCCCGAGGCTGTTCTGGCTGCCCGGAGGGAGTTTTGCCTAGCGGCAGCATCCCTCAGAGATGCGATTGGGGCAGCCAGAGGAAAAGGGTGGGACACCCTCCTCCTCTCGCTGGACGCGGATCCGTGGGGGCGTCCATACAAAATGGTGATGAACAAGCTGAAACCATGGACGCCCCCGCTAACGGAGACGCTCGACCCCCGGTTCTTGGAGCGGGTCATGGGGACCCTCTTCCCGGTCAGGGAAGGGGACCCCATGGGCCCGTACGTTGCACCCACCCCTGAACAACAAGGGGTGGTACCGGGGGTCACCGAGGAGGAGGTGGCCGGGGCCATCAAAAGGGTCAAAAGCCGGAAGGCGCCAGGACCCGATGGAATCCCCGGCCGCGTCCTTACCCTGGCCTCGGGGTACCTAGGCGGAAGGCTCGCGAGGATATTCTCGCGAGCCCTGAGGGAACGGAGGTTCCCCCCAGTCTGGGGGAGGGCCAATGTGGTCCTCCTCCGTAAAGAGGGCAAACCGGAGGACACCCCCTCCGCATACCGGCCCATATGTCTCCTGGACGAGGCGGGCAAGCTCTTCGAGCGTGTCATAGCTGCCCGCCTCGTGGAGCATATGTCCCGGATAGGTCCGAACCTTGACGACGGCCAATACGGCTTCCGGGAGGGACGTTCAACCGTGGACGCGATTCGGCGTCTGCGGTCCCTCTCGGAGGCCATTGTGCAGGAGGGCGGGGTGGCGGTGGCGGTGTCTTTGGACATCGCCAACGCGTTTAACACCCTGCCCTGGGGTAGGGTGGTTGAGGCCATGGAAGGCCACTTCCAATTCCCACCCTACCTCGTGGCCGTCGTCAGGGATTACTTCCGGGGTCGGCGTCTAGCCTGGAGAGACGCCGACGGCAAGGTATGCGAGAGGGGCATGAGTTGCGGGGTTCCACAGGGGTCCGTTTTGGGCCCCCTCCTGTGGAACCTCGGTTACGACTCTGTCCTCCAAACTGCCCTCCCCCCCGGCTGTAGCATCATCTGCTACGCTGATGATACGCTCATCATAGCCGGGGGGAGAGACTGGGGGGAGGCCGTGAGAAAGGCCAACCTCGCGGTGGCATGCGTCGTGCGCTCCATTCGCGGACTGGGTCTGGTGGTGGCGGAGAGGAAAACGGAGGCAATATTCCTCCATGGTAGGAGGATGAAGCCACCCCAGGCCCAGATCAGAGTGGGAAGGGTCAGGGTCCCAATAGAGGCCCAGATGAGATATCTGGGCCTCACCCTGGACGGCACCTGGTGCTTCAAGGAACACTTCAATCGCCTGGTCCCCCGGTTGAGGGCTGTCTCAACGGAGTCAGCAGACTCATGCCGAGAACCGGGGGACCCGATGGGAAGGCGCGTCGCCTCCACGCTGGGGTACTAAACTCGGTGGCCCTTTACGGGGCACCGATATGGGCGGAAGCCCTGGCCGTCAGTCGCCCTATACAAGCAACCCTGCGCAGGGTGCAGAGGGCGCTGGCGGTCAGGGTGGCCCGCTGTTACCGAACAGTATCCCACGTGGCGGCGACGGTCCTGGCGAGCATGCCCCCCTGGAGCTCATGGCCCTATCGTACATCGAATGTACGATAGGAAGCGTGAGCTCCTGCGTATGGGGGGGGCGGAAGAACCGCTCGCCAGGACAATCAGAAGGATGAAGCACCAGACTCGACAGGTCCTCCTTCAGAGATGGCAGCGACTCCTGGCTAATGCCAGGTACGGAAGGAGGACCGTCGAGGCCGTCCGGCCCTTCCTGCCAGAGTGGGTAGGAAGGGCCCACGGGACCCTGACCTTTAGGATGGCACAGGTGCTCACCGGGCATGGATGCTTCGGTGAGTACCTGTGCCGGATAGGCAAGGAGCGCACGGCGACATGCCACCACTGCGGACACGACCATGACTCCGCGCAACACACACTCCAGGACTGCCCCGCCTGGAGTGCCGAGCGCGGAGTCATGGTCAGGGCCTTGGGCCAGGACCTCTCACTCCCGAGGATAGTCGGGGCGATCCTCGGGAGTGAGAAGAGATGGGATGCGTTCTCCTCCTTCTGCGACTCGGTAATGACGCAGAAGGAGGAGGCTGAAGAAGCGCGGAGAGAGGCAGAGGGGGGGAAGGAAGCGGCGGCGGCGCGAGAGACACCGCCAGTGGAGGGCGGGGAGAAGCAGGAGTAGGGAGGGGGACGTTGATTCCTCGGAGGAGGATGAGCTCAGGAGGATGGTGGGCCAACCACCACCTCCTCCACCTCCTCCCCCCCCTCCCCCTCCTGCTCCCCCCAGGCACAAGCAGCGAGACGGGGAACCCGCAGGGGGCACGGTGCCCCCCGTGGAAACCGGAGAGGAGTCGGAGACGGAAGGGTGGCGGTGGTGGTTTTGCACCGCCTCACCCCCCTAATGGTGGCGGCAGCCATGCTGACCGCCCCCCCAGCAGCAGGGGTGATTGCGGCGCCACCACCGCCGCCACCCCCCGCTGTCCCACCAAGGGCAGCGACGACGGGAGAAGGTAGCGGGTGGAGGGCCCGGCTCAGGCCTAGGCCCTACACACGCAGACCGCCGACTCCCACAAGAACGGGAGTCGGATGAAAATGAGGGGGGGAGAGGGCATCGATGATAAGGAATCATCGAAACAAATGCCCCTCCCCCCCTTAATCGCAGGTCCGACAGACCAGTCGGACATGCGGGAAGGGGGGTCACTAGGACCCCCCGCCCCATTCCTCCGCGGAGGTGGGGAGAGCCCGGCGGCTAGGGGAGTAGATCTCCCCGCAACCGCCGGGCGGGAGGGTGGGGCACCGGGCGGGGACTCCCGGTGCCCCAACCAGCCCTCCCAAGGTAGGGTGGCTGGCTGATACGGTGGGTCAGTCAGCCACACAACGTGTTTTGGCGGCGCCTCGTCTGGTCGGGAACGGTGGTGAAGCGGGCCTCGGCCGGCTTCCCCCCTCCCGACCGAAGAGACGAGGCGTGAGGGGTGGGAAAGGGGAACGGCGGTCGAAGCGGGCCCTCGGGCCGGCTTCCCCCTTCCCCTGGGGGAGCGGCGGTCGAAGCGGACCCTCGGGTCGGCTTCCCCCCTCCCCCCCCCGCCCCTCAGGGACAGAAGGTGTAACATCTGGACTCGGGGCCCCGATCAGCAGTTACATGGCACCGGGGCCCCGAACCAAGTCCCTTCGCAGCGCCACCCGGGGAGGTTTTAGCCGGTAGGAGTCCGGCATAACCCTGGCCCTTCCCCGAGGGTCAGGGTATCCATGATGGATTTCCTCCTCGTCAAAAAAAAAAAAAAAAAAAAAAAAAAGGTTAGGTTAGGTTCCTCCCCGTGGGTGCCACCTTGACGTGGTGGGGAGGCTTGAAGGTCCCGATGATGTACAGAGCTGTGCCGGCGGGGGTTTCGGCCCCTGGCAGGTTCTACCAAGCCGGAGTGGTCTGTACGGAGGGACTGGACCAAGAGCACCCGACCGGGCTGAGTGACCAGCCTGGTCCATGACCAGCACGGTCACAGAGCGGGTGGGAGGAGATCATCATCCCTGAAGGCATTGCACGCCGGTGCTCCGGCAGCCGACAGGGATGACCTCCTCCACACTCGCTCCAGGAAGGGGACCTCTCTCTCCGAGGCATTGCACGCCGGTGTTCCGGCAGCCTCGGAGAGAGAACCCTTTCCTCCCGCCTCGGTTGGACCGTTACGGTTAGACCGGGGCGGAGGGACGTACCCGCATCCAGGGCTCCACCCCATGGGGATCCTCCTCCCCCGTGGTGCCTGAGATGCGGAGGGGTACTCCGGGCCGCTCGGACGTTTCCGAGGTCGGGGTCGGGGTACGCTGCCGCGTCCTGAGAGATCCCACCCTCCTAGGCATTGCACGCCGGTGCTCCGGCAGCCGAAGAGGGGAGGATCTCTCTCCCTCGCTCGTCCCAGCCACGGCTGGGCGAACGAAGGATCCCACACCCGGGTCTGCACACCGTGGGACTATTCCCACGGTACCTGGGGGGTGGAGGGGATGTCCCGGGCCGCTCGGACTTATTCCGAGGTCTGGGTCGGGGCACCCTAGGGTGACGAGGGGAGAGGACCCCACCTTCGTTCGAAGGTGGACTCCCCGACTTCCCTCACCCGTTCGGCCTCGGTCGGACGGACAGAGGAACCCACACCCGGGTCTGCACACCGTGGGGCTTGCCCCACGGTACCCGGGGGGTGGAGGGGTGTCTCGGGCCGCTCGGACGTATTCCGAGGTCTGGGTCGAGACACCCTCATGCGCCGATCAGAGGACTCATTCCCGGAGGCATTGCACGCCGGTGCTCCGGCAGCCGAAGGGAACGATCCTCTCCCTCATCCGTCCTGGCCACGGCCAGGCGGAGAGAGGTACCCACACCCGGGTCTGCACACCGCGAGGGTTTGGAACCCCTCGCGGTACCCGGGGGGTGGAGGGGTGCTCCGGGCCGCTCGGACGTATTCCGAGGCGGGGTCGGAGCCCCTGTGTGCTGTGCCCGAGGGAATGCGATCGCATCACCCTAAAGCGGACCCTCGGGCGGCGCGAGCACGCTGGCTGCCATGGGGGAGACGTTCCCGGTGGGGTGCGACACCGGTGAACTATCTCCTTCCATGGGGCCCCCCGCGTGGCGGCGCTCTGCACGGTGCCCACATTGTCGGAGGTGTGGGACCCCCGAAAGCGGTCTGGCCACCAGAGATGGTGGTCAGGGCGCGTGTAGGGGGCGGGAGGCCTGTGCCGACGATGTCATATTCCGTCGGCCCGTGCCATATGGTGCTCCTCCGGGGGAACTCGGAGGCTCCCCCTTGCCGGGGGGATGCGGGCATGCCCGGGCACCGGAGCCGTGCAGAGTGGTGGGTTTTAAACCACAATGACTGACACTAATTCCTCATCTTACGAATCATCGGACACGGAACAAATAAGACGACCCAGGCAAGGACCATTGACACGAGATGCCGAACTGGCAAAGGCCAGATAACGGCAAGGAGGGAGGGGCTTCGGAGCGCGAAGTCCCTAGTGACGAAAAGGGCGGAAGAGATCGAGGACAGTGACCGATCCCGATCGCCGCTCAAGGTCGATGATTCGACGCCTTTTGCCACCTCCAAGGAGGAGGACTCGGACGATGGCGTGAAGACTGCCCACAAGAAGAAGGAAGGGAAGTGGGAGATCCCCAGAGACGAGGACGGGAACACCGACGAAGAACGCCTCGTGGAGAAGGCCATCAAAGGCAGGGGCAGGCCGGAGACAACAGGGGGATACCGGCTCAAAAAGAATTCCTGGCCAGGAAGCAGGTTATCCTGGAACAGAGAAGGGAGGAATTCCTGCTAAAGGGCATGGAAAACCCTTGCGAAGAGTTTCAGGATTGTACTACCAATAGGAAGTACAAGGCCGAAATTAAAAGACTTACTGAACATCTTGAGGAGGCCCCCTTCCGGGACGTCACGGCGACGATCCTTGAAGCGTCGACAAAAGTTCTAGGATTCTCGCAGAAATCTAAGAGTTTAAAGGGTACCCATGTTAAGGTGCTCAGAGACGCCGCAGCTGCCATAACTGCAGGAGCCAACGTAATGGCAATGCAAATGGCGCAAGATAGATGCGGGAGAATATGGATCTATAGAAGAACTGAGGACGGAGAACGCAACTCAAGACGTCGCTGACAGAGGTGAGGAAGGAGCTGGAGGAGGTCAAACAGATGCTCCGAGGTATAAGGGAGGCACCGCCGCATACAGCAGTGGTATCCTCCCCGCCCTCAAAACACCCGGGAAATGTGGGTCAGGGTACGGAGAAGGCACCGCAACAAAGGACGGGTGCTCCCTCGTCCCTGATGCGTATGAAGAAGGAAGAAAGGGCGATCACCCCACCTATGGTGGACATGGTGGAGGAGGAGGAGGAGATCCCGATTGGGATTATAGAAATCCCAAAAGGATTAATCCCAAAGGACGGGAAACGCCCGGTAAAGGAAGCCAGGGTCGCAAGAAAAGAAGTAGGTCCCAAGATTAGGGAAAATGTCCCCCTAAATACTAGAGTCAGGGTGGAAAGGAGGGAGGAAACAATGAAAGAAGGAAAGAAGGGACTGGGAGAGGAAGTTTCGAGAATAGTGTTCCAGGCCATGAATGAATGGAAGTCACAGGAAACTTCCAAACAAGGAGCATGGAGAAAACAAGGGAATAAAGGGAAAGGAGAGGTAAAAGAAATGGAAGAACAAGGAAGGACACAATACCGGGAAAACACATACAGGAAAGAGTTCCCTCAACTTCCACCCACAAGACAGCAAAAAAAGGAGCAAGCACAACAGGGCAAGGAGGAGACACCTATACCACAAGAAGTGTGGACGAAAGTGGTGGGCAGAAGAGAAAAGAAGAGGGAGAAGGAAGAACAGAGGAGGAAAGAAACAGTAATAAAAAAGGTGGTAATTCCCGAAAAGAAGGGGGGAAAAAAGAATAAGAGAAGAGTCCCTAACACGGCGGCAGTGACAATCACCGCCGAGAAAGGACAGTACAAGGACCTACTAGCGGAAGCAAAAAGGAGGATAGACCTAGAGGGAATAGGTATCGAAAAGATAAAGACTAGAGTAGGGGCCACAGGAGCACTGGTGTTTGAGATACCCGGTGAGGAAAGGAACAAACAAGCGGACCTATTGGCGGATAAACTCAAGGAGGTCCTGACGGATAGGGCAAGAGTGAGTAGACCGCAGAAAATGGGGGAACTAAGGCTAAAAGGGCTGGAGATATCCACCTCTGAGAAGGAAGTAGTGGAGGCAGTAGCAAAGGTAGGGGGATGTCAGGCAAGAGAGGTTAAAACCGGAAACATAAGAGTAGCCTACAACAATTATAGAACAATATGGGTACAGTGCCCCCTAGCGGCGGCCAAGAAAGTGGCAGAAACAGGAAATATCAAAATTGGGTGGACCCTAACCAAAGCAGAACTACTACAGGCAAGAGCACTACAATGCTACAAATGCCTAGAGAAAGGGCATGTACAAGTAAACTGCAAAAGTAGCAATGATAGACGCGAAAATTGTTATAGATGCGGAGAATACGGTCACTTGGCTCGGGAGTGTAACGCCAGAGCCAGATGCCAAATTTGCGCAGAGGCCGGCGTAAAGGCTGATCATAGAATGGGGGGACCATCTTGTCGTCCCCCCAAGAGGAGGAAGAACGTCCCTGGGGATGCAGTGGAAGGGGGTACGGCGACCGCACCGCCGCCGCGAGACCCTCCTGCATCCCCAGTGGGGAAAAACAAAGAAACCGAGGAGGGAAAAGAGGTGGAGGGGGGGGTAAACCGGGAGAAGGAGCCCCAACCTCCACTTCCTCAAAGAAAGAGAGGAGCCTCTCTCTCTCTTCCGCCTCCCCCTCAGCCTCCCACTGATGACGGGGAGATGGAGGTGGAGGGGAAGAGGGGAGAGAAAAGAACCAGGCAAGACGAGGATACCGACGGCGAACAGCCGGGAGAGAAGGTGGTAGTAATAACGGAAAATGGACAATAAGTTATTACAAGGAAACCTGCACCGCGCCCGTCAAGCGCTCCCATTGTTCGAGCATACTATGACGGAGCGCGGTGCAGGCTTGGGCATAGCGGCAGAGCCCCACCATGTCCCCAAGAACCGCAGATGGTTCGGGGACGAGTTGGGCTCTGTCGCTATTGTGTGGAAGGCGAGCAGTGCTCACCCCTGCCGAGTATTTGGACCGAGGCAGGGGGTTTGTCGTGGCCAGGTGGGGAGCCATCATCGTGGTCGGGGTGTACCTCCCCCCAACAAAGAGCCTGGACTTTCCTAGTTTCAAGTCCAGGCTCCGAGATATGGGGAGGGCCGTTAGACGGTACCTCCCCGGACCTGTCATCATCGCCGGGGACTTCAACGCGAAGTCGGAATTGTGGGGATCCCGGGATGGTGACAGGAGGGGGGAGGAGGTGGAAGATTGGGCCGCGGGCCTTGATCTGCACCCGCTGAACGTGGGACGCGAATCGACGTTCGTAGGGTCGCGGGGAGAATCGATCATCGATCTCACGTGGGCTTCCCCCGCGGCCTGGAAGCGGGTGCGGAGTTGGAGGGTGGCGGACGAGCTCGAAGCTCTTTCCGATCATCTCTTGATAGAGATGGAGCTGTCCGTCACCCCCGAGGGCCTGCGGTCCAAGCAACCCCGAATGCAACCCCGACCGGGGAGATGGTCCCTGAACAAACTGGACAGGGAGGCATTGGACATCTCCCTAGAGGCTGCCACCTGGCCACGGCAGGAAGAGGGGCGGGACCTCGACTCTGAGGTTATGGCAATTATGGAAGTCATCGCGCGTGCGTGCGACGAAGCCATGCCCAGAGTCAGGTCCTGCCCCAAAAGGTCCGCCTGGTGGTGGACCGACGCCATAGCCGATCTCCGGCACAAGTCGGTCCACCTCAGGCGGGCCTTCAGGAGGGTCCGTAATGACCCTCACTCGGACCCCGAGGCTGTTCTGGCTGCCCGGAGGGAGTTTTGCCTAGCGGCAGCATCCCTCAGAGATGCGATTGGGGCAGCCAGAGGAAAAGGGTGGGACACCCTCCTCCTCTCGCTGGACGCGGATCCGTGGGGGCGTCCATACAAAATGGTGATGAACAAGCTGAAACCATGGACGCCCCCGCTAACGGAGACGCTCGACCCCCGGTTCTTGGAGCGGGTCATGGGGACCCTCTTCCCGGTCAGGGAAGGGGACCCCATGGGCCCGTACGTTGCACCCACCCCTGAACAACAAGGGGTGGTACCGGGGGTCACCGAGGAGGAGGTGGCCGGGGCCATCAAAAGGGTCAAAAGCCGGAAGGCGCCAGGACCCGATGGAATCCCCGGCCGCGTCCTTACCCTGGCCTCGGGGTACCTAGGCGGAAGGCTCGCGAGGATATTCTCGCGAGCCCTGAGGGAACGGAGGTTCCCCCCAGTCTGGGGGAGGGCCAATGTGGTCCTCCTCCGTAAAGAGGGCAAACCGGAGGACACCCCCTCCGCATACCGGCCCATATGTCTCCTGGACGAGGCGGGCAAGCTCTTCGAGCGTGTCATAGCTGCCCGTCTCGTGGAGCATATGTCCCGGGAAGGTCCGAACCTTGACGACGGCCAATATGGCTTCCGGGAGGGACGTTCAACCGTAGACGCGATTCGGCGTCTGCGGTCCCTCTCGGAGGCCATCGTGCAGGAGGGCGGGGTGGCGGTGGCGGTGTCATTAGACATCGCCAACGCATTCAACACCCTGCCCTGGGGTAGGGTGGTGGAGGCCATGGAAGGCCACTTCCAATTCCCACCCTACCTCGTGGCCGTCGTCAGGGATTACTTCCGGGGTCGGCGTCTAGCCTGGAGAGACGCCGACGGCAAGGTATGCGAGAGGGGCATGAGTTGCGGGGTTCCACAGGGGTCCGTTTTGGGCCCCCTCCTGTGGAACCTCGGTTACGACTCTGTCCTCCAAACTGCCCTCCCCCCCGGCTGTAGCATCATCTGCTACGCCGATGACACGCTCATCATAGCCGGGGGGAGAGACTGGGGGGAGGCCGTGAGAACGGCCAACCTCGCGGTGGCATGCGTCGTGCGCTCCATTCGCGGACTGGGTCTGGTGGTGGCGGAGAGAAAAACGGAGGCAATATTCCTCCATGGTAGGAGGATGAAGCCACCCCAGGCCCAGATCAGAGTGGGAAGGGTCAGGGTCCCGATAGAGGCCCAGATGAGATATCTGGGCCTCACCCTGGACGGCACCTGGTGCTTCAAGGAACATTTCAATCGCCTGGTCCCCCGGTTGAGGGCTGTCTCCAACGGAGTCAGCAGACTAATGCCGAGAACCGGGGGACCCGATGGGAAGGCGCGTCGCCTCCACGCTGGGGTACTCAACTCGGTGGCCCTTTACGGGGCACCGATATGGGCGGAAGCCCTGGCCGTCAGTCGCCCGATACAGGCAACCCTGCGCAGGGTGCAAAGGGCGCTGGCGGTCAGGGTGGCCCGATGCTACCGAACAGTATCCCACGTGGCGGCGACGGTCCTGGCGAGCATGCCCCCCTTGGAGCTCATGGCCCTATCGTACAATCGAATGTACGATAGGAAGCGTGAGCTCCTGCGTATGGGGGGGGCGGAAGAACCGCTCGCCAGGACAATCAGAAGGATGAAGCACCAGACTCGACAGGTCCTCCTTCAGAGATGGCAGCGACTCCTGGCTAATGCCAGGTACGGAAGGAGGACCGTCGAGGCCGTCCGGCCCTTCCTGCCAGAGTGGGTAGGAAGGGCCCACGGGACCCTGACCTTTAGGATGGCACAGGTGCTCACCGGGCATGGATGCTTCGGTGAGTACCTGTGCCGGATAGGCAAGGAGCGCACGGCGACATGCCACCACTGCGGACACGACCATGACTCCGCGCAACACACACTCCAGGACTGCCCCGCCTGGAGTGCCGAGCGCGGAGTCATGGTCAGGGCCTTGGGCCAGGACCTCTCACTCCCGAGGATAGTCGGGGCGATCCTCGGGAGTGAGAAGAGATGGGATGCGTTCTCCTCCTTCTGCGACTCGGTAATGACGCAGAAGGAGGAGGCGGAAGAAGCGCGGAGAGAGGCAGAGGGCCGGGGGAGAAAGAGAAGACGGAGAGAGAGGCACCGCCAATGGAGGGCGGGGAGAAGCAGGAGCAGGGAGGGGGACGTTGATTCCTCGGAGGAGGATGAGCTCAGGAGGATGGTGGGCCAACCACCGCCTCCTCCACCTCCTCCCCCCCCTCCCCCTCCTGCTCCCCCCCAGGCACCAGCAGCGAGACGGGGTACCCGCAGGGGGCACGGTGCCCCCCGTGGAAACCGGAGAGTAGTCGGAGACGGAAGGGTGGCGGTGGTGGTTTTGCGCCGCCTCACCCCCCTAATGGTGGCGGCAGCCATGCTGACCGCCCCCCCAGCAGCAGGGGTGACTGCGGCGCCACCACCGCCGCCACCCCCCGCTGTCCCACCAAGGGCAGCGACGATGAGAGAAGGTAGCGGGTGGAGGGCCAGGCTCAGGCCCAGGCCCTACACCCGCAGACCGCCGACTCCCACAAGAACGGGAGTCGGATGAAAATGAGGGGGGGAGAGGGCATCGATGATAACGAATCATCGAAACAAATGCCCCTCCCCCCCTTAATCGCAGGTCCGACAGACCAGTCGGACATGCGGGAAGGGGGGTCACTAGGACCCCCCGCCCCATTCCTCCGCGGAGGTGGGGAGAGCCCGGCGGCTAGGGGAGTACATCTCCCCGCAACCACCGGGCGGGAGGGTGGGGCACCGGGCGGGGACTCCCGGTGCTCCAACCAGCCCTCCCAAGGTAGGGTGGCTGGCTGATACGGTGGGTCAGTCAGCCACACAACGTGTGTACAGGCGGCGCCTCGTCTGGTCGGGAACGGCGGTGAAGCGGGCCTCGGCCGGCTTCCCCCTTCCCGACCGAAGAGACGAGGCGTGAGGGGTGGGAAAGGGGAACGGCGGTCGAAGCGGGCCCTCGGGCCGGCTTCCCCCTTCCCCTGGGGGAGCGGCGGTCGAAGCGGACCCTCGGGTCGGCTTCCCCCCTCCCCCGCCCCGCCCCTCAGGGACAGAAGGTGCAACATCTGGACTCGGGGCCCCGATCAGCAGTTACACGGCACCGGGGCCCCGAACCAAGTCCCTTCGCAGCGCCACCCGGGGAGGTTTTAGCCGGTAGGAGTCCGGCATAACCCTGGCCCTTCCCCGAGGGTCAGGGTATCCATGATGGATTTCCTCCTCGTCAAAAAAAAAAAAAAAAAAAAAAGGTTAGGTTAGGTTAGGTTAGGTTAGTATGGGTTAGGTTAGGTTAGGTTAGGTTAGGTTAGGTTAGGTTAGGTTAGGTTAGGTTAGGTTAGGTTAGGTTAGGTTAGATTGCACGCCGGTGCTCCGGCAGCCGAAGAGGGGAGGATCTCTCTCCCTCGCTCGTCCCAGCCACGGCTGGGCGAACGAAGGATCCCACACCCGGGTCTGCACACCGTGCGGGACTATTCCCACGGTACCTGGGGGGTGGAGGGGATGTCCCGGGCCGCT